GGATGCCGATTCCTTCATGGACTCTGATTCCTATGCTTCGAAAACAGATGACTGTAAACGAGGTAGAGATCCTCCACTTTAGACAACACAGGATTCTGTCTCAATTGAGGTTGTAGAAACCTTGGAATATAGTTTTTAAAACAAAAAACCGTCACGTTAATTTTATTTCATTACTGGTAATTAAGGATGATGAGTAGCATGAATTAATTATGATAATTAATTTTACATTAGTTTTTGTTATAAGATTCACTATAAAAAACTGTTAAAGGAAAAGTGTTTTGCACATTTCTTAAACTCTTCTTCACCATAGTTTTTTCAAATTAATTTCCTTAAGTTTTATGCTATGATTTTCCCTCTTTTTTCTCTTTATACTTTATAACTTATGTTCTATTATATTATAGAGAGATTTTGAGTCACATTTCCTCAACTCCATAGATATATTATTTAACATTGGAACTAATCAAGGTTGTGTTATTGAAATTTTATAAGGATGATTGTAATCATTTTATTTAACTTGATAAATGAGAAATAAAGATTTAGGAATAAATAATTAATTCTTGATAATAATAAATCTTCATCTAAATCAAATTCTAAATCCTTCAGCCAATGTTTTTTAAAATTTAATCTGAATATTGTTTATGTAATTTTATGTATTTTAAAGTTATAATTTGATCTTATGATTAGGGAATTATTTTGCAAACTTATCTTTATGCTAGAACACTTTTTGTTCACTTCTATAATTATACATTCAATAATATGAATTCTAGAAATATAATCAATATAGTCATTTAATTTTATATTATTTAGTTCTACGCCATTTTTTTTAATAGTAACATAATTAACAAAACTTTATGCAATTCTCTTATTGCCAAGCTAAATAAAAAAAATAATAATTTGATTTAACATTAGATTCTATTAGATCACTAGTTATTTTAACTATTCATTTGTTTAGTTTTTTTTATATAAAATTATTTATAGAAACTAAATTATAAACTTAGTAATTGTTATACTTTTACATGCTAAATTATCATATGTTTTTTTAGTTATTTTCTTTGTTGAAATTTTAATTTATCTACTATAATTATTTGTTATTTACATGTTCAAAACCAAATTTTAGTTACATATATTTGATTGTTATTTTATAAATTTTATCATAACTTCATATCAAGAGTTGATTATTAAAATCAATATTGCTTCACCAAATACTAATTATAAAGAGAAAAATCCACTAGTATTTTTTGCTAAGAAACTTAAAAAGTTTAATAGATTGAATTTTAAAAAGTGATAAGAAAATGTTTTGTTTTATCTTATTATCTTGAACTCGGCAAAATTCTCATTTAAAAAAAAAACATCAAAGCTATTATAAAATAAATTTGATTCCACTGATGTAACAACTATGGACAAATGAAATAATAACAATTTTATGTGTAAAAACTAGATCTTGAATAGATGGGTAACTACTATTTTGATTGTTATATATTTTATTTTGAATATTTTTATGTGTAAAAACTAGATCTTGAATAGATGGATAACTACTATTTTGATTGTTATATATTTTATTTTGAATATTTTATTTATTTATTTATTTTTAATTTCATTCTTTATAATTTAATTTTTATATCAACTTTGATCCTCTTTCTTTTGATTATTATTTATTTTTTTATCATTTTTTTATTGAGATATTTTTATCTATTAGATTTGGTCTTTATTTTTTATTGCTATTTATTTTATTTAAAATAATTTATTAAATTAAAAAAATTTATTAATCATCCTTCAACTTTTTAATTTATCAGATTTTATCATTATTTTTATTATTATTAAAAATAATTTATGAAATTTAATTTATTCCAACTTTATCATTCTTTAACTTTTTTATATGTTAATTTTGCTCATTATTTTTTTACAGCGTAACTAAGTAGGAAAGTATTTTCAACCGTCAACGAATATCAGTGTTAAAATTTAAAACGGCACCACACTCGATGTCTTATAATTTCAACATCATCGCCGTCGTCAGTGCCTGGAAAATCTTGTGGTCAGCAATTTGACAATTAATAATCGGCGACAATCTAGTAAAACGGAGACACAATATCAGTACCGATCCACCAGAATAGAAGAAGAGTTATGATGTCACCTCCAACACCAGGTGGGTCCCATTGTTCTGGCTCCCGTTGGACTTTGGTGGGACCCTCCAGTGCATGAGGTGATGGGGAGAGAGAGTACCGGAGAGGCAGGGAGCGTTGGGTATATGCCATTCTTGTGATGGTAGTCTTTGTCATGTGCGTCTTTTTATTGTGTACTTTCCAGTGCCTTGATTTCTGATCAAGTGATCCTCAAAACACGTGATCTTTTCCCTGCCGCTTCTCTACTCAACCAGTAATCTTTCTTTTTTTTTTTCTTTTCCTTTTCTTGTTTTACAATCTTCAATTAGTTTTAGTCAAACCATTAAAGCTTGTTGTCTTCTTTCCAATTTCATGCACCCCCCTTTTTTTCTTTTCTTTTTTACTATATATCGTTTTAATTGCTTGATTCCGTTCTAGCATTTATTTGATTGAAGTAAATCTATCTTTTGTAAATCCTAATTTATGATAATAATAATAACATATTAATATATTATGTAAAATACATATAAACAATATCAAATTCATAATATAATCAATACATGATTATTAATATATAATTAATAGATTACAAACTCAAATTTAACGTATTCAAAATCCCTTAATAACCCAAATAAAAAATTTACTTACCAAATTACCATGACTCTTGTTTATGTTGTTCTTTGTTGGTTTAGGTAACTTGCTTGAACATACCATTTTTATAGTAATTGTTTTATGACTTTCATGCATGTCTCTTAATATATATTATTTTGAGTGAAATATAATTTAAAATATTATAAAAATAAAATGACTCTTTAGCCACTTCTCTCCATTTAAAAGCAAGACTCATGAACTATAATATCTCATTAATCCTTCAAACTTCAGGTTTACAATCTCTTCATTCTCAATATTTTTAACATGTATATTTTTAAAGTCTTTCTCTCTTAAATATAATTGCATTTTCTTTCTAAAAAAAAATACTTATTTGAATATTTAAAGTCTTCAAATCTACCATGAAGGATATTATATTTTTAAAGTCTTTCTCTCTCAAATATAATTGTATTTTCTTTCTAAAAAAAATACTTATTTGAATATTTAAGAGTCTTCAAATCTACCATGAAAGATATTTTATAGGTATTAGTTACCAGAACCTTAGCTTACTAGAGACCAGATATTAACAAACAATCACCTTAGCTTACTAGGCACTAGGTACCGACAACCAACTACCTTAACTAGAGAAAATAGATTAAATTACTAGAACTAAAAAATTAATCGATTATCCAATACATAATAAGCCTGGCTCCTAAGTTACTTGAATTTGTTAGGACTTTGTCATTAACATCATCTATTGGAAATGAAAAAAAAAACTAGTTCATTTCTATTTCTCAAAAGCTATTTTCATAGTTGACAAAATCCCAACATAGTGGTAGTATGCTAGCAATTATTATGTCTACGATAATGCCAATAGCTAAGCTAGCATTTATGCATGCAATTACATCCACGGTTATACCAGCGACTATACCTATAACAATGTCTATTGTTACGTCTTTAAGTTACATCCACAACTACATTCCATAACTATGCCCTAAGGCTACACCTATAAATAGTTTTTATGGTGACTTGTACATGGCTAAAAATGTCACTAATAGGACTCTGATGATACATAAAAGATGAGTTCCACTTGCTAGGCAAGCTCTACCCATCGAACAATTTCACTTACAAGGCGAGATCTACCTGTTGGATGAGCCCTACACTCTTCAAGAGATTGGTATGAGGTCTTTGTAGTGCAATAGTATCATTCTTAAAGAGATTTGTATGAGATATTCTTGGTGTAATAACATCACTCTCTAATGAATGAATAAAATGAGAGGTCTAATGAACTCAAATTTAACAGGCTCTAAACCCCCCAACAGCCTAAAAAGAATGGGTCCAGACACTACTTGGATCCATTAACCATGGGCCCTAAGCAGTACGTCTAGGTCTATTTTCCGACCCTAATAGGTTTAGGCAATTTGCTTAAACCCAACACTCTCTTATGAATTTTTTGAGATCTCTATACAAGTTTTTTAATATATTATATTGATCCAATACATATTATTTTGGTTGAAATATAACTTAAAATATCACATATATGAAAGAACTCTTTAACCTTCATTTTCATAAAAGAACAAAACTTATGAACTATAAATATTCAATTTATTATATTTATACCTTAATTCTTAGAGCATTTATTATACCAAAAATAAGAATAAACACTCTTGTTCTTGAAATTTAAAGTTTTTAAAATGCTTTTTACTTAGAAACATATTAAAATAATATTTTATTTTTATTTTTATTTTTTAAAATTTATTTTTGATATTAACACATCAAAACAATCTAAAAATATGAAAAAATAATTAAAGCTAAAAAAATTCTATTTTTTAAAAAAAAACTGTTTGATCGCAAAAACAAACACTCTCTAGTAACCTATTTGATATTATAATACAATTATTTTTTAAAGTGCTTTTCACTTAAAAATATATTGGAATAATATTTTTTATTTTTTAAAATTCAGTTTTGATTGTAATATATTAAAAAAATCTGAAAAAATAAAAAAATAATTTAAAATAAAAAATAAAAATTTAAAATTTAAATTTTTTTAAAATAATAATAATTTTTTTATTTTTTAAAATTCAGTTTTGATATTAATATATTAAAAAAATATGAAAATATAAAAAATTAATTTAAAATAAAAAATAAAATTTAAATTTTTTTTAAAAATACCTTTCAAATATAAAAATAAAAGGGTTCTCAATATTGGGGTAAACGCAGTCTCTCTCTCTCTCACTTCGTAAAAATTATTACATTAAGTAGACACTTAGGATGGCTTTACAAGTAAATTAATCAAAACTCAGACCCATATTCATTTACCCCTCCTCCGAGATCTCTCTATACAGACTTCCCCTTCTTCCTTTTTCCTCCTACTCACTTCAGTTTCAACGTCTCCTTCTCTCGTTCGCCAGGACTCAGCACAACAAGCCTAATACTCTCTCTCTCTCTCTTTCTCTAAACACAATGCAGCGGCTTACTATGCTCCTTTCTCTACTTTTCCTCCTCTCCACTTCCACCACCTTCACTCGTGGCCACAATATTACTCGTATACTTGGCAAGCACCCATCTTTCTCCACTTTCAACCACTACCTCACCCTAACCCACCTCGCCGGAGAAATCAACAGCAAAACCACCATCACAGTCTGCGCCGTCGACAACGCAGCGATGTCTGAACTCCTTTCAAAACACCCATCAATCGCCACCATAAAAAACATCCTTTCCCTCCATGTCCTCTTGGATTACTTCGGCACCAAGAAACTCCACCAGATACGGGAGGGCACGGCGTTGGCAGCCACCATGTTCCAGGCCACCGGGTCGGCTCCTGGGTCGGCCGGATTCGTTAACATAACGGATGTTAAAGGAGGGAAAGTGGCTTTTGGACCTAAGGATAATGAAGGGAATCTTGATGTCTTTTATGTCAAGTCATTGGAGGAGATACCTTACAACATTTCCGTTATACAGATCAGTAAGGTGTTGCCGTCGGACGTGGCAGCGGCGCCTACGCCAGAGCCAAGTGCTATGAACATAACAGATATAATGTCAGCTCATGGGTGTAAGGTTTTTGCTGACACTTTGATTGCGAATCCTGAAGCTTCAAAGACATATCAGGTAATTAACAAATAATTTGATTTTTCTTACGTGCTAATACACAGTACTTTTCATTTGTTTGTATTAATTAAGATCGAGTTAAACTAATTTGGAGGATCAAACATGATTTCACATGCTGATTTTGAGGGTTCATTGGATCCATAATAGATCGCCATACATTAATCAATTCCAAATTAAATTTGAAGAAATTTATTTTTAATCAATCTCAAATTAAATTTGAAGAAATTTATAATTATACAACTATTGATTTGCCACCAATTAAGAACTTAATTCTATGTCGGTCAAAAGTTATGTTACATGTGTGCCCGTGTAATGTGGATATACATATATTTTTATTTTTCTGATTTTTTTATAGCTTCCTTATTTTTTTATAGGGTACTTTAAACTAGCTAGTCGCTTCGTGTTTTCTTTAGGTTGTTTTAAAAAATTATATCTTTTTTAATAAATCATTATCCTTTCTATATAAAACTATATAATATTCAGCAAAACTAATGTAACGACATTTCCTAAGATTTTGATGAGGTTTTATTATATTGATTATACAGTGCATAATCTTTCATCAATTAATATTTTTATTTTATTTTTTGGCTTAATTAAATTTAAATTTATTATTTTTGATTTATGCATCTTTTATTTATGGTATTTTCTCACCATTTTTTAATAAAAATTTATTATATTATATCCTTCTGGTAAAGTAGTTCACATGATAGTTATTAAACTCATCTCGATAATTGATTTAGTCAGGAGTTGGGTCCCGAGTCATATAAATTGACTTAGGTTAACAAAATAAAATAAAATAAAAATTATGTTTATATTTTAAAAAGCTTTGAAATTTAGTATGTGGAAAGCTATAATATAAAAAAAAATTTATGTGGATGTAAGATATCAAAAAATAAATATGAAATGTAGTTTAGTTATTTCATAATAAAAAATTAAGAAATAATCCATATAGATGCATGCTATATATAAAAATAAAATTGTGATTTCAAGTAGTCATAAATTAATTTTATATTTTTTTTAATTTATTAAAAAACAAGTTATGCCTTAAATTATCTAAGTTACACAGGTAACTCAAGTTTCATGTTTAATAGGCGGATTAACTAGGTTTGATTAGGCTAATTACAAATCTATATTTTTGTGATTTGAGACTTGACCAAGATCTTATGTGACATGTAAATCCATTAGACCAAGTTTCATAACTATAACCCACATGTATTCTAAAAAATACAATATTTTTTAGCAATTAATATATTTCTCTTTTTTCTTTTGGATTTGTTGAATTTAAATTTATTATTTCATGTTTTTGTTGTTTTTTATTTATTACATTTGATGTTTTAATTCGATAATATTTTATTAATTATGTTAAAGATATTGATTTTTTTTTTTCTGTGTTGATAAAGAAGCTTCTATTAAATTACTTGCATTGTAATTCTTATCTCATGAACCATTGATGGAATTGCAACATAGGCTTGATTTCTTCCTATAATTTCCAATGTTATCACTTATTATTGACATTAATCTCAAGTGATGGCTGCTTTTCAGGACAATATTGATGGAGGATTAACAGTGTTTTGCCCTCTCGACGATCCATTCAAGGCCTTCTTCCCTAAATTCAAGAATTTAACAGCTTCTGGCAAAGTGTCATTTCTTGAATTCTTCGGTGTCCCTATGTATCAGTCCTTAGCTATGTTAAAATCCAACAATGGAATCATGAACACTTTAGCTACAGATGGCGAAAAGAAGTTTGATTTCACAGTTCAAAATGATGGTGAGGATGTGACACTCAAGACCAGGAGTATCACTGCAAAAATAGTTGGGACTTTGATCGACGAACAGCCACTAGCTATTTATACCATTGATAAGGTCTTGCTGCCGAAGGAATTGTTTAAAGCAGCACCAACACCAGCTCCAGCGCCCGCCCCGGAGAAGGAGGTGGCTGATGCACCAAAATCTAGCAAACATCAGAAGCCATCCTCCGATGTTCCATCAGACTCACCGGCCGATTCACCTGATGGCGACCTAGCAGATCAAACAGCTGATGACAATGCTAGTGTGCCATTATATGGTGGAAGACTTGTTGGCATAGTATTGAGTTTGTGCTCAGGGCTTTTGCTGCTGTAAGTTCCTTTAAATTGAGGATTTTCTACTCACGGGGGGGAATAAGCCAGACCTCGATGGCTAATTTATCACCCATTTAGAGTGTGTTTTATTTGTTATTTCATGTCTTACTGATATAGATCGTGTGATTTTTTCTTTCTTTCTTTCTTTCTCCCTTTTTCTGTCTTTTATTTTTGTGTATCTGGATAGTTTATGAGCTAATCTCGCGGCAGATACTGTAGATCTATGGAAAAATACTGTTCTTGTCATCGACCATGAAGATTTTGGCATGGTAATATGGAACTTTTGTGAGCAAATTTCAGTTCCATGTTTGGTTCAATGACCGGAGAATTCCAACTCTTCCACTGCCTCGTTTCTAGACTGCATAGATTTATTGATTCCTGCATCATTTCATTTCCTTCTTGGTACGTTGTTTGATTTTTGCCAAGATGGCTATGTTTGATGCCATCCAAATACTATATGCTTAGTTTAATTTCATTTTCTATCAAAAGTATATGAAAAAAATAAAAAATATTGCAAATCCGACGCCTCCAGAACCAAAGATCAGGCACAGTAAAATATCTGCTGTCAGTACAAGACTGACCACATCATTCCTTCTGAGGATTTTGGATGTGGCCAACAATTACTACAGGTAAAGAAGATTCACGTAGAAAATGACAAAAGCCATCCGTAAAACAGGAAAAAAAACAAAAACAAAAATAATCTCCTGCTTGTAAGCAGTAAGATACATTTTGCTAAATCCATGTTGGTAAAACTGTAACTTGGATGAGGAGGAGGAGGAGGAGGATTGAACAAGTTGAAAATGCACTTGTACAGGGTACGTAATTTATGTCAGTATATATATATATAAACATTCAGGGATATGCAAACACGATGGAACAGAGCACTGATCAGCATCAAATAGGAGAAGTGGCAGCAGGTTTAAGTTTCAGAAGTTACTCACATCAATCATGCCATCATTGAAATTTAATGCTTAGTTATAAATGATAGCGGGGGCACCTGGATCCTATGGAACCCTTTTCCTCTGATGCATGGCTGTTTAAACATTTAGTACAATTGTTATAACTATCTTGTCAAAATTGTCGTTTTTCCTATTTTTATATACTTTATTTATGTCACCTTAAGTAATTCACTTGGTATGATTGCATTTTTAATTTCTCATCTATAAAATCCCCTCTTCCTTCCTTTCATTTCTACTCAACCCATACATTCAACAAATATAGAAGTGTGGAGAAATGACAAGTTTCTCAGGTCATCACATATGAAATATTTGTATTTTCGGTGGATCTAGTCCTGGAAAAGAAAAGGAGTTTTTAGAATCAGCAAATCATCTTGATCAGGTGCTAGCTGAGAGAAAGATTCATTTAGTGTATAGGGGAGGGAGTCTTGGGTTAATGAGAGGTGTGTCAATAGCTGTATTTTTAGGAGGTAGTCAAGTTTTGAGGGTCGTCCCCGAAGCTTTAGCATAAGGGGACATCATTGGAAAAACAATTGGAGAGGAACTTCAGGTCTCCACAATGTCAGCTCGAATGAATGCAATGTTTAACCATGTTGATTCCTTCATTGCTTTACCAGGTGCTCTAGGCACATTGAAAGAGATCTTTCATATTTTCTCTTGGGCCCAACTGCACATTCACCATAAACTCATAGGTTTGTTAAATGTTAATGGTTATTATGATAAGTTGTTGTCTTTTCTTGATCATGCTGTGGAACAGGAATTTCTAACATCTTTTCCACGACAAATCATAATCTCTGCTGCTACTACTGAACAATTGATTGACCAACTACAATCTTTCATTCCTGTAATTGATCCTTCCATGAGTCGCATAAGTTGGTCAACTAAGGAAAGCCATAAAAAGTTTAGATTAGATTTGAGCCTTCATTTGTGAATTTTTGTGTCTTTTGGTTTTATTATTGTGTTTTGTTGTTTCTTATATTTGTTTCAGTGTATTCCAGGTTTGTCAGTGTTCGTTATTTCAGGTGATATCTTTTATACTCTATCTTTCTACCTTTAAACATTGAGGACAATGTCTCGTTTTAGTTGGGGGGAGAGGGTAGTAGTAAAAAAAAAAAAAACCGTGTTTTCTATTTCATAAAGCATGTGCAAAATTGTTGTTACTATGATGGCAGAGTAAAGAGAACTTTTATGACTCTTGAGACGCATCTTAGTAACCATTCTTAACAAGGTCTATTATAATACTTCATGAAATATTCAGATTTACAAACTCTCGCATTGTTATCACTTAATTCTGCTTATATACTGATTTAACATGTATTCTTAAACCTTAGTTTACACACACATACACACTTTAACATATGATTGTGGGTTGCATATTGGATTATTACATTATTTATGTTCTTTTGTTAAAGGTAACAACTAAGGGAAAGGGATAGTGTATAACTAAAAAAAAGAAAAAAAAAAGAAAAAAGGAAAAAATGATAATAATAAAAATGTAGATAAGTTTGGTTTCGTAGCCTCCCTAACCTAAGCAATTAAGCCCAAAGGGGTGTTTTAACACCTAATACCCTAAAGTCAACTGACTTGGGAGCTATTGGCCCAACGCTTGTTACATGGGTTAAGGAAAAAAGCTTAAGGGAATCAAACATTGCACTATCTACATGTTAGTATTTGCGACCCGAGTTACTAAGCTCGTAGGGGTGTCTTAACACCTAATGCCCTAAGACCAACTGGTCTGGGAGTCATTAACTGAAAGCTCGTTACATGGGTTAAAAATGCATGATGTTTTTAAATTATATGTATATATATTTAAAAAAAAGAAGAAAAAAAAAAGATAAAAATAATAATCCCAACTCAAGA